GTCAAGTAAATATATGTATGCCATAAACATATGTCATAATAAATATTTTCAGTGGTGGTAAAGAGGCTTGATTATGGAGTTTGGTATGTAGTGAAGTAGATGAACAGCAGTCATGGCTGATTGAACATTATCTTTCATTATTGGCTTACATCCCCTACCACCACCTTCTCGAGATGACTGCTAGCGCATCGCATATTTAGAATGCCCCCGTGCCACACAGACATCATACATTTGCAAACATCCATGCCTTCGGAATTCAAACCCAACCCTTCGGTATGCAGAGTCACTAATCACTATCCTGGTTGGGTAGGTCCTTCCTTTCTTTATTAATATATTGAAATTTACTTTTAATCTAAATAAAAGTCAGACATTTTTTTCTAATTTATTAAAAAGAATTTTTTTCAGTAATTTTAATAAATTTTTCAAAAAGTATTTTGAATTGTGAACTATAAAAATTTTCACACCATTTTAAAGTGAATATATTTTAAGTCATATTTCATAAAAATTAGAATTTTTTATTCAAAAAATTTGTGGACATATGTAAATTTAAATTTAAAGATTTTAAAATTTTTATAGAATTAAAAGCAATAACAATGCCAAAACAACATTCCGTTTTGCATTATTTAAATTTATTTATTTATTTTTTATTTTTTGATCTGCTTTTCTTTTTTTTTTACAAAGTGATTTTTAGTCATTAGGATAAAGAAATGGAATTTCTTCTATAAAAATTGGCCATAAAACTTTTCTCTTAATAGTATGTTTGATTTTTAAAATTTCTCCTAGTCTTATTTTTAATCTTCATAATTTAATTAATTTTATTAGCAGCAATTTAATTTTAGAAACAGTACATACCTTTTTTGGGGTATTTATTTGGAATCTTGCATCCATGTAAAAGTAATTGCTGATGGATTTTCGTTTCTGGTTAATAATGTAATTTATGTTGCACTTAATGTTATTTATTTTGCACTAAATTTGAATGCAGTGCATTTCACATTTTTGAATTATGGATAGGAATATTTCTCTTCAGAAAACATAAAAACATATATCCTTCAATTCACAGGCTACATTTTAAAGAAGAATAAATTTAAAAGTAGCAGACAGTATTTCTGATTAAGTAATAATCTGTATCATAAGTTCTTCTTCCAAAACATTTCCCTTTTTTTTGTTTCTTTATCAAAATCATTCTGAAAATGTGTAAACTCCCTCTATGTATTAAAATTTGGTACTTCATTGTCTTTCATTGTCTAGTCAACCATGAAAAGTGGCTACCATCAAACTATGAATTTTGGCAAAGATACTGTGAAAGTTCCTTAAATAATTCCAGCAGAATTCTGAAGGAACTAATGCCTCTTTGTTTAATAAAGAATCAGCATTCAACTTGCTTCATTTTTGTGCTTCGTAAGCACTTCATAAAAAGACATGTTTGGGATTTTTACTCTTTTTAGGATCTCTGATTTTTCTAGAAACTGTGTTTAGTATGCTATAAATACAAATTTCTCGCAGGTAATTCTTCCAATACATTGCTGTTTTGTGAGCCATATTCAGCTGACCATATCATATCCATTAATGTGCACGTTTTTTGAGGGTAATGTTCCATAACTTTGAAAATCATTTACTGCTTGCTGTTCTATACAAGGCAGGTCTCAAGATCCCATAACTTTGAAAATAATCTACTGCTTGCGGTTTTGTACAAGGCAGTTCCAAATTTAATCATGTCTTTTAAAATGCATTTCACATTTTTGAATACAAGGGGGAAAATACAGCACTAACAGTTAATTTATATTCTTGTTCATAAAAATAAAATGTGGTTTATCAAGAATCAATTGAGGTTACATTAAACAAAAACTTGTAGAGTCATTAGGTGATTTTGAAGCAGGAAATGTAAAAAATGTGCATTGCTGTTACTGGGACTCGAACTTGGACCTCTTGAATATGCAATTGAGTGTTCTGCCATTACACAACACAGGCATGCTGGAAGGAGGGAGAGAGTACCTTACATACTTACCCTTTTAAAGGGTGATTGATATTATGGGCCCAAATCACCAAATCCTGGTGGTGACAAATTATAATCCTCCACCTTTTAGTTTTGACACCACTATAGAGTTATTAGGTTATTTTGAAGCAGGAAATGTGAAAAATGTGCAATGCCCTCGCTAGGACTTGACCTGGATCTCTTGAATATGTGACGAGTGTGCTTCCGTTACACCACAAAGGCATGCTAGAAAGAGGGAGAAACTACCTTCTAAGTTCAGATGTTATAAATGTGTAATGATATCATGCTTATTCATGACTGCTGCTTAGCAACAGTTTTGTGATTGATGGAGTACCTAAAATTTTTAGGAATGTTATTTAAGGAAAGATGAAAACTGATTAAATTTAGAAAAAAGAATTAATAAATTAAATTTTATTTATACTCATGTCCATAAATTAAGGATAACTCGGAGTGACGCAGAAATCGAACTCTAAAATAAATATATCACCTGTAAAATCACTACACACATCTTCAAGAAAATCATATGCAAATTTTCAGGAAGTAACCAGATGACACCGATGGATACGTCACAATGACGAGAGTGTAAGAGAGTGATATATAAGAATACAGGCAAAGAAGTAAAATTGTTCGCAGGCTTTATAAGCATTTCAGTGCAATAACCGAATAGTTATGACACAAAGGACGCATTTGGATGATTTTTTACGTGATAATTATCGGCCGTCTGGAATTGGGCGTACCCAACTGGAAGTATCAGACAAACTTGGAATTGCCCAGAGTATCATCTCCAGGCTTTGGCAACATTCCAAGATGATGGTAATGTGAGTAGACGTTACAGCACAGGTCGCCCCAGAGTTACAGCGCCGAATAAGGACCGGTATTTGGCAGTTACTGCCAAAACAAACAGGTGGAGCACAGCCTGAGACCTGCCTCGTCAGCTCTCTTCAGCCACTGGTACGACAATTTCAAGGCAGACCGTGTACAGACGCTTAGGGCAGATTGGTTTATATGTTCGTAGACCTGTCAGATGCGTTCCACTTACTGCAACTCACTGTCGCCTGCGGTTAGCCTGGAGTAGAGAGCATGCACTGTGGACACCGCAACAGTGGGCTTGTGTGATGTTTTTCCGACGAGTCCAGGTTTAGCTTGCAGTCTGATTCTCGCCGGACTTTCATATGGAGAGCTCCAGGTATTCGTTACCACCAAGAAAGCATCATTGAACGACACCGTTACGGTGGTGTAGGAGTGCTCGTTTGGGGTGGAATTATTCTGGGTTCCAGAACTGACCTTCATGTTCAAATTGGAATCATGACAAGCCATATCTATCGGGACGTCATTCTGGAACAACATGTACATTTGTTTCGGGGTGCCATGGCGCACAATTTGTGTTTATGGATGACAACGCCAGTCCTCACCGTGCAAATATCGTAAGCGAATGCCTTCAATCGGAGGATATCACCCGTACAGACTGGCCAGCATTCTCACCAGACTTGAACCAGTAGAACACGTGTGGGACATGCTTGGCCGACGAGTTGCAGCCCGTCAACCTCCTTCCTACATGTCTACCGGAACTTCGGAGTGCATTGCTTTTTGAGTGATGTAATATCCCCCAAGATCAGATCGATAATTTGATACTCAGATGCCTAGGCGTTGTACGGACTGTATTGCATTGCATCGTCTGGGAGACATACAATGTATTAACAATCAAACCAACCATGTAATATGGTTGTTTTTTTTTTTTTTTTGTTAATAGGTTTTTTTTTTTTTTTTTTTTTTTTTTTTTTGTAATTTGCTCCAGGGAGAAAAAAAAATCGCTAATTTTTTAATAATATCAAACATATAGCATCTGTTTTTTTGCTCTTTACCTTTTGTTTAATAAATAAGCTTTACAAATAAGTCAAATTTGTTTTGCTTCTAACTCTTCCTTTGCCTGATTTTTCATTATCCTTAATTTATGGACATGAGTGTACTTCTGTAAACATGTTCTACATTTTACTTATAAATATTTAAATGAGCAGGAATTTTATATCTCAGCTAAATATATTTAAGTTTTGCTTTTACATAATTGAATATTACTAAAATGGTAAAAGTAAGTTCAATTAAAAGTAAAAAGTGAAGAGTTGTTGTATTTACATAAAATCCATAATAGTTTGCAGCATGGAAGTGTTAATGGTTTATTAATCATTTGCATATTTTAATTGATGTCATAAATTGAAATCTAAGATAGGATCCTTAAGAAAAGGAAAGACTAAAATAACCACCAAATTCTTATTGTCAATTTTTATTTTTTTAGTTACAAATCTAGATACTTTAGTATGTTAACACATCTGGTTGCTTTAAAATGATCGAAAGATTACTTTTTATTCTTCAAAATATGACAAAATAAATCACGAGTTAATTTACACATCAGTTATATGGAATATTGTAATGAACATATCACAAATCATATCTTTGATGTACAAATCAGCTAGATCAATTAACGTTCAAAATTAATGTACTGTTGTAAATAAGTTATAAATAGAGAGGTCCAAAGGATATGCCATTGAAAAGAAAGTGTATTATAGAAATAAACTATATTTTTGTGCAGATAAATAAATTTCAGATAAATAAATTTTAAATAATTTGTTATGTGGTCAGTAATTTGATTTTTGCTATTGATCACATTCCATTGTATAGAGTTGCGTATATAATACATATTCCAACAAATCAAATCTGTAAGTTCTGTTTTATATAGTTGCTCATTTGAAAACTGCAGATTCCTTTTTTTAAATATTGTTATATTTTTTTATATTCTAATGCAAATAAATTGTTACATATTTATTCTTATCATGTATATTGTATTATTTTTAATATTGTAAATTTTTTCATATTCTAACACAAATAAAATTGTTACATTTTTATTCTTGTATTGTATATGTGCATACGTTGTGATTCATACTTTAAGAAACATGATAAAATTTATCTTCGATAAGAATCATAGAAGTTTAGTAATATTTTTAACAAATTTCAGGTATAATAGGGAAAAAACATGTTGGCCCAAGCAGTGTATATCCATTTGATTTTGCATATACTGAAGAAACAAATTCAGTTAATCAGGTAGGAAGAAATATTTCAAGAATACGGGATCTTGTTCATAAATTCCTTGAAGAAAACAGTAGCAGGTATGTTCAACAAACACTATGCATATTTTATTTTAAACGTAAATTTTCAAGCTTTAGTTCAATTTTTTTCATTTTTAAAATCAAATAATTATACATTACATTAGAATATCTGTATGAAAGGTACTTATGTATTATCTCATCAACTGTTGGCGGAATTATCAGAAACAATTGGCCAGGTGATGACTGTGGAATTCACATGCCAGTTATTACTGTGGTCATCCATAATTGTTTTAAATTATGCTATTTAGCCAGTCAATGGGATAGTACATTAGTACCGTATGAAATTTTGATTATTTTTTAATAATTGTAATTGATTAACGTGATGAATGTGGGTAAACATTTTAAAAATTCATTTCTTACCATTAAAAGATTAATATGGAACATAATTTTTATAGTCAAATAAAAAGATTTTACCAAAATAAAATTAAGAAAAAAAAAAAAAAAGAAAGAAAGAAAGAAAGAAAGAAAAAAAAACTGGTGTAAAAATTCCAGTTATTGTATATTTTGGCATAAAACACACACCTGTAATTTCATACTAACATACACCTTTTTCCGTATGAAAAAAATTGAAAGATATATGTTCAATCTTTTGAAGTAATTTATTTGAAGATCTTTCCCAGGCTTTTGAACAATGGTATATTGAATTGACAAAGGGGAGCAGTATCTGTGTGGGGGAATGCTTGAGAGATAAATAAGTCTGCAAAGAGGGGGTGCATTGTATTCAATGCAAGTGTGCACAAGAATACTATTCCAGTGTTTCAAGAAAATGATGATATTAGATATAATAATGCAGTTCCGACTTTAATGAATTCGCAGAATTAGCAGTTATATGTTTTCTCTTTTTGTAGTCACTTGAAACTGTGGTTATGAAGTGAACATCAAAGGCAAGGAAGGAAAAGGAGGCTAAATGCATTATGTCAGTCATGCAATAGTGTGTGGGTGGATAATAAAAGCATGATATAATCCAGAGGTCATTAAAAAAATATAATACGTCTAAGAATCTAGATGGAATGGAAGATGATTATTTATTTATGGGTCAGAATAACAGTGATGGTAAAGATGAAACTGAATTCGATGATGTGCCTGAAGATATAACAGAAGAAAATTATAATAGAATTTTCATGTTATCAAAATAAGAAAATTTTTGAAATTCATAAGAAATGTCATTTCTTATGCTCCTCTTTTATTTTTAAATCCATCATTTTTATAGCCAACAGATAACGTGCACCTGTAAATTTCGATAGTATATTTTGTCCGAAAAGGGCACATTAAACACTGCAATATATGGTAATACTGTGTTTTGAAATGAATGAAATGCCAGTCTTCTATAAGATTTTATCTATTGAATATAAAGGTGAAATAATTTGAACATAGCAAGAAATAAAATGAATAAGTAAATAAGTGAATTGAAATTAACTAAGTCATATTAAACTGATGCAATGAAATAGCACTTGCCTTAATTTTTACAGATACCTTCTGCCCACTTGTGACAGTTGTCTACTGAAATTTTTCTGAAATGATCACCAATAATTGCAAACAGTTTTGGTCTTCTCTTAAGTTGATAAAGAATATGCTATTGTTAATATTTAATAATGTTCTTTAATTACAAGTAGTATTGAGAGTGTGTCTCGCCTAGCGAGTCTATCCCTGCGGAGTCGATCGAGTTGACAGCCTGGCAGTGAGTGCCGAGTGGGTCGTCGAGTGCACTGAAGGAGTCTGTTAGTGTATCGCGGTTTGTGCATTGTCGAGAGAGCTTGTTGAGCTCCGGGAACAACAGAATTGAAAAGTCGGGAGCTGTGCTCGTGTGTCGTCGAGTGCATCACGAGTTGTAGCATGGAGAGTCTCGAGATTATGTGGAGTTCCAAGAACGACCAAGCCGAGTCAGGAGCTGTACTCTGGTGCTTTGCAGGAAGCTGTCTCCACCATGATTGCCTGATAACATGAAGGCTGTGTCGCTGATTGTTCCAGCGAGTGTATATAGTAGATCTCAGACGACTGTAAAATGGAGCTGTCCTGACAATACTGGAAAATAAAGTGTGTTTTGGTACTTCATCAAGTGCCGTCGTTATTCACTTCAAATCTATGTCAGAAGAAAGAAAAAAACCGTAACAACAGGTGTCAGAAGTGGGATTCGCGAGTGAATGTCAGTGACCCGCCTGCAAAAAAAAAAAAAAAAAAAAAAAAAGCTATGGCGGAGGAAACAAAGACTTTGATGGACTTCTTAGCCAAGATGAGGGCTGAGATGAAACCTGGATATCAAGAGATCAAAGCTGAGTTGAAAGCAATACTGAAGGAGATGAAAGCTACACTGGAAATGAAGAACGCCTGATGAGAAGAAATAAATGTCGGCAAGAAAAGGTACAAGAACAACTCCAACAGGTGAAAGTGGAGCTTACAGAAGAAACGAGCCATAAAAGACGATGTGGATATGAGAGAAGTGGCTTCTGAAGAATCAAAAGATGAAGAAATGAAGAAAGTAGCTAATGAACTGTGTGAGAAAGATCAAGAAATGAAAGATAAAACAACTAACGGGATTAAAGATAAAGAACGAAAACATGAAGAAATAAAAGATGGGAAAGTAGATTTTGATTCTCAAGTGCCTGAAGTGGAAGAAAGTGAAAATGCGATTGTCAAGTTCGTAAAAACTGATAGTGAAGTTATGAAGTCGCAGTTCGCAAGTATTGAACCATCTGAAAATGCATCTTATGCAGAGATGACAGAAGTTGATGTGCAGCTTAAGCAGTGTGCTCCAGTATTACAAGAAAATTCACCCACTTTGCAAACTATGTGTGCGTCTCATAGTGCAGGTTTTACAAACGACGACTTGATTCTAAACCCGGATACTTCTGCTTGTAAAGAATCGGATTCTATTCATGACCCTGGCGCAAACATTGGTACTGACTTTCAGGAAATAAAGGTAAATAAGCATGTAGCATCTGCTAAAAATACCGAGGTGAACTGTATGCATGCTGCAAATGAACTTCAGCGTGGTGAACAAATTGTTTCAGATCTTTCTGTGGATGAAAAGTCTCAAAGGACTGAATCCTCATACTGTGATATGCAAAACAGAAATGCATCTGAGAACTGCAGTGGAAAAGTATTTGACCTGGGTATATTTTATGCAGACTGAAACTGCAATTCATTCTAAACTATAATGTATATAATTTAAAATTGTTATGTATCTAATGTGTGTATATAACTTGTATATAGTGTAAATATTTGCTTCTTTAGTTATGTTATTTGTTTGTTTTAGAACCTTTCGTTTGTATCGAATTATGCTTCTGACCAAGGGTTTTACTGCCCGGGACGTGCAGTCCTTGGGAGGGGGCAGTGTTACAAAATGTACAGGTGCGGTAATATGGCATCCCCATAAAGCAGTTTTAGGGTTGCCATAAAATGGCAAGGGAAGGCAGGCTTGCCCCATTTGGCAAGAAATTGCTCGTTTGGCAACAAAATTGGTGATATACCATGGACGGTTGAATAACCTTCTGGAATAAATTCGTACCGGTTTAGCCCAGAATGTTCTCGAACACAAGCCGAAAGCTATATAACCTTTGCTGGTCCGCAGTCAGTTAGTGTGTGTCTCAGAGAGTGTGCCTTGTCTAGCGAGCCGTGCGGAGTCGATCGAGTTGACAGCTAGGCAACGAGTGCCGAGTGCACCGAAGGATTCTCTTAGTGTATCATGGTTAGTGCATCGTCGAGAGAGCATGTTGAGCTCCAGGAATGACTTAACCTGAGAGTCGGAAGCTGTGCTCGTGTGTCGTCAATGCATCGCGAGTTGTAGTGTGGAGAGTCTCGAGAGTACGTGGAGTTCTGAGAACAACCAAGCAGAGTCAGGAGCTGCACTCTGGTGCTTTGCAGGAAGCTGTATCCACTGTGATAGCCTGATAATCTGAAGGCTGAGTCGCTGATTGTTCCAGCATGTTTAAAGTAGTTCATCGACGATTGTAAAATGTGTTTTGGAGCTATACTGACTAATAAAGTGTGTTTCAATGCTTCATCAAGTGTCGTTATTCACTCCAAATCTACGAACCCCATACGAACTGCTGTCAGAAGGAAGAAAAAACCGTAACAATTAACCCACTTCTGACACCAGTTGTTACATTTTTCACTTCCTTCATGTTCATACGGGGTTCGTGTGGATTTGGAGTGAATAACAATGACACTTGATGAAGTACCAAAACACACTTTATTTGCCAGTATTGTCAGGACAGCTCCATTTTACAGTCGTCTGAGATCTACTATATACACTCGCTGGAACAATCAGCGACTCAGCCTTCAGGTTATCAGGCTATCATGGTGGAGACAGCTTCCTGCAAAGCACCAGAATACAGCTCCCGACTCTCCTCGGTCGTTCTCGGAACTCTACGTACTCTCGAGACTCTCCACGCTACAACTCGCGATGCACTCGACGACATATGAGCACAGCTCCCGACTTTTCAGTTCAGTCGTTCCCAGAGCTCAACAAGCTCTCTCGACAATGCACAAACCGCGATACACTAACAGACTCCTTCAGTGCACTCGACGACCCACTCGGCACTCGCTGCCCGGCTGTCAACTCGATCGACTCCGCAGGGATTGACTCGCTAGACGAAACTCACTCTCAATACTACTCGTAACTGACTCTCTCGCACTCTGTGTGAGGCACACACACTCACTGTCTGCGGAGTAGCTGGGTTTATATAGCTTTCAGCTTATGTTCGAGAACATTCTGGGCTAAACTGGTAAGAATTTGTTCCAGAAGGTTCTCCATCAGATCTATAGAATTCATTTCCACACATTTATAATAAATTTGTATGTTATCATAAGTGTTGTTGATCATTATAATAATAGAAATAGCATATTTATATTAGTAAAACTGAAATAAAATTAACTCTATGAATATTTTTTTTTCAAATTATTTATACTTATTTTTCTAGAAAACCACTTGAAAAAACTAAATTAGCAAAAAATGAAATAATAGTATACATTTGCATATTAATACTGCTGCAGCAGCCTAT